ATAAACTTATATAATACCTAGTACAAATTATTTTTTACGGGTTAATATTTAAATATTAGTTATTATATTAAAACGTAGTACAAATTAAGAGAAAATGATAAAAATAGTTCTATAAGTGTCTTATAATACTATTATAATGACATTTGTGCAAAAAATTATACAAATATAATAATATTTTTAATATTAAGTACAATAACGCAAAAAGTAAATGAGAAACTTAAAGCTGGACAGAGGAAGTATATTTTTTATTCAATAATTCGTTCTATTCTCCCGACACTATTTTTAATTTGCGATTTCTCAAAGATAATAATATAAATTACAAAATGTATATAAAAAAATACAAAATATTTTATACAAAAGTTAAAAATTTAAAAAAAAAAAAAAAGAAAAGAAAAAACTCATGATAAAGAGTCAAATATTTAACCTAAAATAGTATATTTTATATTTTTGACACAGTTTTATGCCATACCCAAAAAATTATTTTATCTAAAAACGCTGCGTGAACAAATTCACTGCAAATGAAAAATACAATTTTTATCACTCCAAATCTAGACAAAATTGTTAAGAAATTGAAAGTCTCCAAGACTCCGCGCATGATTTAATTACTTGCAAATCGATCTGTAGTTCAGTTTTTAAATATTTACAAACATTACCAATTATACTTCCGATAACACAATCGAAAAATGTAATAGATATTGCTCAAATTGTATATTAATAAATTAGCGTTTAAACCCGTATTATACATGGTATATAATGGTAAATTATATAATATTCAAATTTATTTATTATAATATTTTTTTATAAATTTCAATATTTTATATATCTATAATAGTTTATAATAAAAATAAAGTAATATAAACTAAATAAATTCATATTGAACTTAATTAGTGATCTAGTATTAAATATATTAATCATTATAAATTTTATTCATTAAATTAATAAATCAATAAAATGACTTTAAATGTGCCTTATCCGATATTTATATTTTTACTATTTATATATATAATAAGTAAAATAATGTATTAATAGATTTCTTATAGGAAAATAATTATTAATAAATAAATAAATTAAAAAATTATTAATTCAAATAAATTATAGCATAGTTTAAACAATAGGGAGGGTTACAGTGCTAATTTTGGAAGATCAACACCGTGCAACACACGTAAAATACGAAATTTTTATCATATATGATATGTGTTGTTTGTTCATAATTATAAATTGTGTTGTATAAGAGTATGTCATAAACTAAAATTAAATATTGTATGTATTTTTATAAGATTATATCAGATTCTCCGTGGTTATACGTGGGTTGCCCGCTAGCATTCTGAATTTTATACTAAGCATGGTAAGAGGAAAGAATAAAAAAATATTAATTAAAATGAAAATAACTAAATAAATACATTATACAAATTTGCCTTAAAATGTATTTTTCATTTAATAAAAGAGCATTTGGGTGAAAAATAATTTTTTACCAATTAAACAACAATCATTCTTATATAATCAAGTACTAAAAATCTTGTAATAAAAATATCCATAATTTATGCATATATTTCCAAATAGTAAAATATAATTTACCAAAAAATTTTAATTATAAAAGATATTTCTTATATAAAATAATTTAAATTTATATATAATACTCGCTCCGTCTATCTAGACAATATACATATTTTTATTTTGGGATGTCCAATTACAAAATAACAATTTCATTAAATACTCTATTTTTTTTTTTACAAATATTTTTACTTTATATCAAATCATACTTTTATAAAAAAAAATAAATAAATAAGAGCAAAAATATCATTACACTATTTTTACCTGCCCACTGTAATTAAAATACTATTATTTTTTAAAAACTCGGTGTCAAAAGTAAATGTATACTTTTCACTTGGAGAGAGAGTAGTAAATTATACTATTATAAATTAATTTATCATTTTCGATTAAAATTTCAAAAGTTCTATTGATTGAAAATTTTATTATACTATTTTTATGTAAAATATTTTATAAATTTATTTTAGTTTAAATAAATATTAAATAATAAATATAAATATAATAATGATTTAATAGACTTAACATACTATAAAATATCATAATAGGATAACACTAACCACTATGTTGTTTCGACGCATTTTTTCGCTAAAAAAATAATATTCCATCTGTTTCACATAATTTGTCTCTATTTTTATTTTTGTCCGTTCCATATAATTTTTCATTTTATTTTTCGGAAATATGATTATCCACTTTAATCATATTTTAAATTTTAAATTTTAAATTTTAAATTTAACGGGCGTACCTTAACTGTCGAATAAGTAAGAAAAACTTGGTTATTAAGTGCGTGTCAATAACTATAATTAATTCATTTAGAAGCCAATAAAATTAAATATTTATCGATGATCAAATCCACTATCCAAGTTGTCAATTTTATTTCTAGACTAGAAGCTTATTTATTTTGAGGTTAACTTTTAGCCGTAGAATTTTTTGTAGATTTTTAGTTTACTATTTTATTTTTTTCTTAACGTCCAACCCCCCCTCTCTTTTCATTATATATATATATTAAACACTTGAAAATAAAAAAATAAAAATTATTCCCTGAGAAAATGATTTTACTTCAGTTATACTACATTTTTTTTTTTTCGTGGAAATATGTATGTTTTATTTAATTTTGGCATACCTATAAACTATAACTTATAGAACATGCCTCAAGTTAACGCACCTGAGTGTTGTGTTGACTAAATAAATGTGTTGTATGTTTATTATATATATGTTGATTAGCTCTTATCTGTATAGTGTAGATTAGTCATATTCAGCACAGTGCGGATTAATCTTAATCAATACTATAACTAGTCCTGGAGAATAAATTATAATTTTATTTCTAGGAAAAAGAAAGTTCATCTACATCAATCTATTGTACATCGATTAATCAGTTAAATTTAATTGATGAAAATTAACATGTTAATAAAATTTAAAATTTCTCAAAATCGATTAATAAAATAATATAAGCCGATAAAATTAGTTAATTGATGTGATTATCAATTAACTAGGCTCGTTTAAGACTTAAGTGGGCTTGATTGGACTTAAGGGAGCTACTTAGAGTAAAATTAGCTTGGTTAAGTGGATTAACTTAGAAAATAGTTAATTATCCCACATTGCCTATAACATCAAAGTTAGATATGCTTATGTACAAATGAAGTATATATATTGTACAAAATGTGATTAGGAAGAAAAATTATAACTTCTTCCGCTCTTTTATTTATCGGGCCACTAATCTTCTTCTCGATACTTCACATGGATTATAATTAGCCTTGGAAGGAAATTGATGAATCACAAGTTCTTGTTTTTTTTTTTTTTTTTTAGATTGATATTTGTGCTTATAATTTATGATTTGTTATGAAACTTACTTATTTGTGATTTTATTTTCTTTGGCACTAGAAATGGATAAAATTTGATAAAGTAACCATACTTAAATTGTATATTTATTATGAGTAGCTAATTTCTTTAGTTCTAATATGATATTGAATTTTGATTTTGAGCTTGGATTTGTGAGATGTATTTTTATTTTTTTTTGTATAAATTAAATTTTGTTTGTAAGTTGATATTTGTACAAATTGGCATTTCGTGCCTATGATTGTTTTAATTAGTCTTTTTTCGTAGTCGAATTTTAGACTATTTCAACTGTAACGCTATAATGAAGCGTTACGTTGATGGTCTCAATCAATACATAAAAATACTATAGATAGTATATGAATATATAACCGACAACATATTGTATAACGAATTAATGTATTGTTAATTTGTTCCGTAAGGAATGGTATGGTGGTGTAGGAGTTGGATTTGTGACCGTGACGTTATGGGTTCAAACCCTCAACGTTTTAGGTCATCTGATTTTTCCGTCGGGCCTGATTTGCATGATTTGCAGGATATTAAGTTCAGTTGGGGGTTTATCCGGTGCGCACTTTCAGATAATAGCTGTATTAAAGTAAAAAGAGTGTCGGCAGCAGACAGCTCAACATATCACAACATAAAGACAGATTTCTTTCTGTGTCACATATTAATAGCAATAATAATATCAGTCTCAACTACTCTCAACCCAGCATCTGCAACAAATTTTATGCACATACATCCATCTGCACCGAATTAAGGTACTCCAATCTTTATACTTAACAAATTATTATTACAACGGTATTTTATTATTATTATTATTATTATTATTATTTTTATTATTATTAGAGTAAACTGTTTTTTCTAATCCTGGACCCCTTATCATTTTAGTTCCGTAGGTGGAGCCTGTCGCAAATTAGTCCCATAAGTGAAAATTTTTTGTTGTTTTAGTCCTCTGGCGCCGGAGACGCCCGCGTGGCTCGCCGGAGGTGACGTGTCCGCCAGGTCAGCGACACCTGGCGGACACGTGAATTTTATTTTCATTTTTTAAAAATTTTTTTAATATTTTTTTTAATTTATTTTTAATTTTATTTGTATTTATTTATTTGGTCCAATTAAAAAAAATTAAAAAAATTAAAAAAATTTAAAAAAAAAAAGTAAATCTACGTGTCCGCCAGGTGTCGTTGACCTGGCGGACACGTCACCTCCGGCGAGCCACGCGGGCGTCTCCGGCGCCGAAGGATTAAAATAGCGAAAAACTTTCACTTATGGGACTAGTTTGCAACAGGCTCCACTTACGGGACTAAAATGATAAAGGGGTCAATTACGGAACTAAAAAAAACAGTTTATCCTTATTATTATTGTTGTTGTTTATCATCGTTAAATAATTATATATATCAACTATGGTACTTAGAGCAGTTAATGAGCCTAAACCAATCAAAAAAAAAATTATATATAAGTTTGGCTCATTAAGACTCGAGCCAACTGAATGTTTACAAATCAAACAAATTATTTATCTGAGAATCTTAATTAATTCTACCTTGATTCTTTTTCACAAATAAAATAAATTCATAGTTGCTGAGGTTTTTTTTGTCATCAGGAGCCTAGTTCTGAGATTTTGATAGATGGCTGTTGCTGCTTATACATCCTTGGTTTCTCTTACTCATGTCCTCGACAATGTTCTTTACCGTGCTCGAATTTGTTTCCTTCATGTCGAAATAAAACAGATTGAATCTCTCCAAGAAGGTGTCAATTTCTTGATCGAACTCCTCGAACTTCATCCTGTAAGAGAATGTCAGAAGATAGAAAGTCTGTGGAGGCAAATATCGAAAGCTTGTTTTGAGGCTGAAGAAATATTCGACTTACATGTAGTGTGTCAACTTCAGAAGGGATCTTGGCGAGAAAACCCTGATATGGACCTGACAGGTTTTCGTGAAGATTTGGGCTTAATGATCGAAAAGATCGACTACTTCAAGAGAGATCTGTCGATGATTAAAGGGTTAGTGGACGAGGTCCGAGTTGGAAAACAAACCCGAGCTTCTATTCCTACTATTGGTTATTCATCGAATGTTTCTTCCAATGTGAAGAATATTATAGTGGGACTCGACGAAGATGTGATCAAGATTAAGTATGAGTTGGCTAGAGATGAAGCCAATCTCCAAATCATTCCAATTGTCGGAATGGGTGGCATTGGCAAGACTACTCTTGCTAAAAGGGTTTATGAAGATAAGTATGTTGTCGAACACTTTGATGTACGTATTTGGCTTACCGTATCCCAAAAGTATAGGGTTGATGAGATTCTTTTAGGTCTTGTCAATTATGGGAAAGTTGTAATATGTCGTGAAAATTTGGAAAGATGTGGAGAAGCATTGCACAAAAAGTTATTTGGTAGAAGATACTTGATTGTTATGGATGACCTATGGACTTTGCAAGCTTGGGATGAGTTTAGGAGGTTTTTTCCTGATAATGGTAATGGAAGTCGGATTATTATGACCACTAGGATGTCGAATATGGCTGCTTCTTTAGGATCTCACCAACCCTATTTGATGAGATTTCTAGACGAGAAAAAAAGTTGGAGTTTGTTTTGTCGAATTGTCTTTGGAGAAGAAAATTGTCCACATTTAGAGTTGTCGCAAATTGGAAGGGTGATTGTGAGAAATTGCAAAGGACTTCCTTTGGAAATTACGGTGATAGGAGGACTCCTTGCAAATGCGGGTTCGAGGAAAGATTATTGGGAATCCGTAGCAAAAAACGTAAGCTCCTTTGGTAATGCAAGTGACGGAGAACATTGTTTAAAGATATTACTTTTGAGTTATAATAATCTTCCTTTGTATCTGAAGCCGTGTTTTCTCTATATGAGAGTTTTCCGTGAAGATGCTAAAATTGATGTCTTGAAGCTAATTAGATTGTGGGTTGACGGGGGTTTCATAAAAGCGAGGGAAGGTCAAACTTTGGAAGAGCTCGCCGAGAGATACTTGAAAGAACTTGTCGATAGAAATCTAGTTTTTATGCGCGAACAAGGACTAATTGAGGAGGAAATAAAAACATGTGGTATTCATGATCTTTTGCGAGACTTATGCTTAAGTGAATCTAACAAAGAGCGATTTATGCATTTTCCGAGACTACAAGACATCCATATAAATTATGGCGAAAGATTGTGTTTCCTATGTGGAAGTTTTGTCTACGACGAGGATCGTAGTAATCCCTTTGAACTTGTTTTTGTTTCTTCTTCGACTTCACAAGGTTATCCTCATGTTTGTGGCGCTTGTAAAGCAACTTATTCGGGTATTAAGATACTAAGATTGGTCAAGGTCATGGACGAAGATGGTTGCTCTTGTGATTCCCTAGTGCAACACACTAAATTACGTAGTGTATCCGCTACAATGTTTTATTGTCCAAAATTTATATCTCCTTCGAATCTTCGATTGTTATGGAACCTTCAAACTTTATTATTTCCGGAAACTAAAAGTTCGGCCGCGATAGTTTTACCGTTTGAAATTTGGGAGATGCCTCAACTCAGAACTATTTACGCCGAAAGTTTGGTGATGCCTAAACCTCCGGATGCCAATGTTGAAGAGAAAGAGATCTTCATTCTCAAAAACCTTCATAGCCTTTCGGTTGCGTTGAATTTGGAGCTTACGGATGAAATTCTTCGTGGAATCCCAAATTTGAAGCAACTAGAAATCGAGCACAACGAGTGTATGAGAATGTCGAATGGTTCTCTTTGCGATCTTACCAAATTGTCGAAACTTAAATCATTACATGTCATAGGTGCTTATTGGAAGAGCTACATCTTTCCGAATTCGCTTAAACTATTGAAACTGAAGAAATGCACAATTCCTTGGAGTCGTATGTCGATGGTAAGTTCATTACCCAATCTTGAACATCTTGAGTTGAATGATACGGCGAAAGGGTCCGATTGGAATCCAACTGAAGGGGAATTTCTTCGACTAAAAGTATTGATCATCGTTCGTAGTGATCTAGTACAATGGATAGCCGACGAGTATCACTATCCGGTGCTTGAGGTGCTCGAACTTATTGAATTACCGTCCTTGGAAGAAATCCCTTGGGGCATCGGAGATATACCAACATTGCACAAGATTTCCTTGAAAAAATGCAGTGAGTCTTCTATCAATTCAGCATACCAAATATGGGAAGAACAACAAAGTATGGAAAATCATACTCTTAAGATCAATGTTTTCATGTATGGAGAGAATTTCCAATCAATGAGCTCATGGAAGATGATGATGATGATGATAGTGATATCTAAGGTACTTTTGAGGAACAAAGTATATATTTCTTTGGTATCATATTTATTTATTTATTTTTGGCAAAATTGCCCATAACTCCCTTGTGGTTTCGAAACTCAGCGTAAATTCCCCCTCTACTTTAAAAATTGCATGACGCCCCTTATACTTTAAGAAATGTTGCATGAAACCACTATGTGGTTTCGAAACTCAGCATAAATCCTCATTTTACTTTAAAAAAATTGCATGACATTCTCTTATACTTTCAAAAATATTGTATAAAACCCCCTCTGCCATGCAAAACATATAGATAGGAAATCATCTTCTTATCACACGAGAAAAGTTTCATGGTGGTGGGGTTCCATGCAACGTTTTTAAAAGTATAAGGAGGTATCATGCAATTTTTAAAGTATAGGGAGATTTTACGCTAAATTTCGAAACCATAGGGGAGTTATAAGCAACCTTTATTTTTTTTAGTCTTTCTAACTTGCTAAAATTTCAGGTTCAATTTTGGGAAATAAGAAATCAAGTGTGAGGTATGCCATGGATTTTCAAATGCACATTATCAAAATGTTTTTGATTGCATATGTGTGTAATGTTTTCCTTGTACTTGGAGATGTTTTAATATTAATTAGATTTTTGTTATTATTCATTGATAATTGTCAAAGTATTTTGTTATTAGGGTGAAATAGTTTTTTATTATTTTTTAAAGATATTATTATTGTGCTAACTAATTATAATCGATATAATGCTAACCACATACAATATATATATGACCAAGTATAAAAATTCACAATGCATATATTACATAGTGTATTAACATGGCATACATTATATATATATATATATATATATTTTACTTAGTATACGTATATCCCACATCTATGAATTCCTTCCTATACTCATAATTTTGAAAATTTTAATTTCAAAAAAGTAATTTTAAAATTTTATATAAAATAATAATAATAATAATTATAATATACACTCTGTCCATCTTGTCAAATTTAATTTTACATTTTTTTAGTATGCTTAATTTTTCCAATTACTAATTTTTTGAAAAAATCAAAATACTTAATATTTAATTATTGACCAGCATTAAATATTTATCTATAACAAATATCATTATCATTTTTACCTATCATTTTCATTCTCTCTTCAATCCCTTTTATTTATTTTTATTAATACTCTTAATTACTTTATATTTTTCAATAAAATATTCATATTTTTTAATATTCGTGTCGATCCAAAATAAGCTAAACTTTTTGGACAGACAGAATGAGTAGTATACTACAATCAATCTATAATATTCGAATCATATGTTACAATTTTCTTTTTTCAACCAGCTAAATCAACTCTTCTCTAAATCACCAATTAAAAAAAAATAAAAAAAAAAACCAAAAAACAAAACGTATTCATCCATAACAATCACATTATATAAATATATTCAAATAAATATCTCATAAACAAGAATATTATATTTACATATGGGAATATATTTATGTGTTTTTATAATGAGGTTGGTTCACTAATACATTTTTTTTTGTCGACTTTGTAGATCATGAGGTAGAAATATTTTTTTTTTAGATTTTTTTTATTTATTTATTTTGTATTACGTATGAATAATTTTATATGTAATTTTATTATATTATATATTATATTTTTTTTTCAAATATTTGGCAGCATCTTCTCGAACAATATGTGGTTTACTTGTATATGAGCCACTAAAGTCAAACTGAAAATAAATATCTCACAAATTTTGTTAACCTAACTATTGACACAAAGTTATATTTTGCAAACTCAATCTCTAATTCTCAGCTTGCAATATTATTTTATTGATTTTTATATTTATTTATTTATTTTTATGAGACTATCGTGTGTGTGTGTATATATAGTAGCTGATATTATTTTTTTAAAATATTTTTTTAGCTAAATATATTTTATATGAGTTTTTTACTTTATTTTTAAATAAAATAGTTTAGATAACTGTTCTCAAAACTTATAATTACATATAATATTATATTGAATTTGTTATAAATATTGATAATTTTATTTGATTTTTTTATTAATTTTAATCATTATTTTTTTTAATTATTATATAAATGATACTAATTTATTAATCATTTTGTCTCGTTATCGTGTTCATGCTGCCATTTCTACATGTCTCACATCTCATTTAAAATTTTATTTAAAAAAAAATATTATACATTTTAATCATATTTTAGATTTTATATTTTATAATTTTTAATATTAATTAGACTAATTAGTTATTTTAATATAGCTTTTAAATTATTTTTGTGATATTGTAATTACTTTTGCTATATATTCTTTTTTATTTATTAGACCATATACTATTCCTCTATTTTCTTTAATTTTTTTCTAAATTTTAACTTTTACTCCAACCCACTTTATATTTTCCTTTAGAAGGAATATTCCACTATATTCTTCATTTTTAAATAATTATATAACCTTTATTCAACTTTTATTTATGGATAAACTGTTTTTCTAGTCCCGTAACTGAATCCATTATCATTTTAGTCCCGTAAGTGGAGCCTGTCGCAAACTAGTCCCATAAGTGAAAAAATTTTGTTGTTTTAGTCCTCCGGCGCCGGAGACGACCGCGTGGCTCGCCTGAGGTGACGTGTCCGCCAGGTGTCGCTGACCTGGCGGACACGTGGATTTTTTTATTTTTTTTTCATTTTTTAATTTTTTTTAAAACTTATTTTTAATTGTATTTTTTTATTTTTTTATTTGGTCCAATTAAAAAAAAAAATTTAAAAATTTTTAAAAATGAAAAACAAATAATAAATCCACGTGTCCGCCAGGTGTCGCTGACCTGGCGGACACGTCACCTCCAGCGAGCCACGCGGGCGTCTCCGGCGCCGGAGGACTAAAACAGCGAAAATTTTTCACTTATGGGACTAGTTTGCGACATGCTCCACTTACGGAACTAAAATGATAAAAGGGTCCAATTACGGGACTAAAAAAAACTGTTTGCCCTTTATTTATTTATATATTAAGTTCAAAATTATTTTTGTGTGTAATATAATGCTAATTTATTTTATATTAGTATAATATTTTAGTAATGCCATATATATTTATAGAAATATGAATAACTATATCTAATAATAATTTATAAAATAATACAAAATATAAAAAATTAAATTAAAAATACTAAATATATAAAAATAAAGAATATAAAGGACCAAAAGAAAATAGAAAAAACTTTTACTCCAAATTTGGAATAATGCTTAGAATTCCTCCAAAAATAGATGAACACTATACATTCCTTCAAATATAGAGAAAAAAGAACAATTTTGCTCCAATAATGGAGGTAGAATTGGTCTTAATAATGTCACTCCTTAATTCCCCTTCCTATAGTGTTAGTGACAATATCGTGGGTATTAATTATATTTATATTTACTTAAATGTTATTATACATTTTTTTTTTTTTTTTATTGAGAATTAGGGACGTTTGTCGCTAATTAGTGATGGGCGGGAGGGTTCCAACTCATCCCCAAATTCCCCTATTTTTTAAGTAATGTATAGTGTTAGTATTTAAAAAATTGAATAAAACTGTATCTCAAGTTTTATGATATTTTGTAGTATTTTTTGTAATTTTTGTTATTTTTGGGGATGTATTGTGTAATTTTATTTTTTTAGAATATGATATATAATTTTATATATTAAAAAATTATGTATAATTTTATTTTTTGAAAAGTGATATAGAATTTTATTTTTTAAAAAAATAATGTATAATTTTATTTTTATTAATATATAATTTTATTTTTCGGAAAGTGATATAATTTTATTTTTTTTAAAGTTACATGTACTTTTATTTTATAAAAATTTATGTATAATTTTTTATTTTAAATAGTTATTTGTCTAGATAGCATTTTATTATTTATTTATAATAGTTATTAATTATAAATGTTAATTTTAATATATGTGATTTTTAAATAGAATATAAATTATATGTGTATGGATTATAATGTAAAAATAATTAAAGTTGGAGTGTAATTTATAAATATGAAAAGTTATATAAAATAATGTAAAAGAAGAAAATATAGGAAATATACACTAAAAATTGAAGTTTATGGTTAGAGTAAAAGTAGTGTAGATCAACTGCACTGCATTTGTACCGTAGCAACTGCAAAAATGGAGCGACCGGTTGGAGATGGCCTGAATAGAATTCTATCGATCAAATAAGTGGCACTACAAGAAAATATCATTTTTATAACGGGATTTTTTTGTCTTTAAATTCAATTTTTCCGTTACTAAATTCATTTTCTCCGTTACTAATGATATTAGAGACGGAATTAATGATGGAATTACGTTAGCTACGTGATCTTTAGTGACGGAATTCCGTTACAAATATACTATTTTTTTGTAGTGTGGCATGCAATCCGACCAAATAATAATAATAATAATAAGTATCATGCAAGATAATCTCTCTTAAAAATAATAGGTAAAATTGTTTATAACTCCCATGTGGTTTCGAAATTCAGCGTAAAATCTCTCTGTACTTTAAAAATTGCATGGTACTCCTTTATACTTTAAAAAACGTTGCAAGAAACCCACCACCATGAAACTTTCCTCAAGAAAATGATTTCCTATCTATCTGTTTTGCATGGTATGTGATTTTATGCAATATTTTTTAAAGTATAAGTGAGCGTCATGCAATTTTTTAAAGTAAAATGAGAATTTATGCTGAGTTTCGAAACCACAAAGTAGTTTCATGCAATATTTTTTAAAGTATAAGGGGACGTCATGTAATTTTTAAAGTAGATAGGGAATTTACGTTGAATTTCGAAACCACAAGGGAATTATGGGCAATTTTGCCAAAATAATAAAATAAAATGTAGGAATAGAGGCTTGGAAGATAATGGCTCGAGTCAATTGAAAAAGATAATTGTGTTGTATTTCGGCTCTATTATTTTGTAGCGATGTATAGAGAGAGACCTGAGCGATGGTGAATAGATATAGAGTGTGACATGTATGATTAAGAAATTTAATTACAACTATATATTATTTAATTTGTTCTAATGGATTTTATAGTAATATTATATTGAAATTTTATCAAGAAGATGAAAGCTTGGTAATTAAGTTGAAGCAATTTTAGAGAAATTATCTAAAATTTTTAATAATTAATGCAACTATTTAGGGTAGAAATTTTATAAGGATTTCATGTGTCCTAGTGTATTAATTTAAATAAACAACTAGTAGTGGAAAGACTTAGATTACCCACAACAAAGACACTCAGTAAAAGTATCTTTCCACCTCCACATATTTCTTTTGTTATCTTCATATCATACTTTATTTTCTTCATATCATCAAAAAATAAATAAATTTATACTATATATTAAAAAAATAAAGTTTTAAGAAAATATATATATATATATCATTTTGTATATAATTATGTAGTGAATACAATTTTTATAACACAAAAATATAAAAAACAAATTCAATTATATAAATATACATAAATTAAAAGATAAATATTTTTTTAGATATCTCTGCAAAGATATTCAAAAAAAAAAAAAAAAACAGCTGCTACCCGAATCATGTGTGGTTGGAATCCATGATCTTACGGTCACAAATCCAACCCCTACACCACTAGACCATCCCTCACGAGACATTGATTTTATT